GAAGATAGAAGGTTTTGCGGAGACCCAAGGGTGCTTCGTCTTTACGCTAAGGCTGAGAATATTTGCTACAGCAGCGACTATATGGTGTTTGAGCCGTTGGCAGAGTAACTCGGGGTCCTGTCAGGTTAGATGCTTGGCAGCAGCAAATCTGCTGTTGATCGCTTGTTCGAACGCCGCGCAAACTTCTGGATCCGTTAATTTGCTTGTGTCGAACTGCGCATCTGCAGCTTTCTATGCTGTTCTCCTGGATATGGCCAGTTGGAAGCCGAGCTTTGCGACGGCCATTATTAAGTGATCCTAGCTAACGCCAGCCCGCAATGTTCCACTGCCGTGAGGGATGCTCCGCCACTTCCTGCTGACCAATATGTGTGGTCAAGCCGGCTCCTGAAGTAGTCACCTGGTGCAATCCTGTCAGCCGATGGATCTGAAGGTGGGGATACAGCGTATCGCTGTAGGATAAATGTCTAACAGCCGTCGACCTTTGTCATTCAGCGTCCTGGAGCTATGTTGGCCTATCACACGATGCCATTCGGAATTGACCTGGCACGTTCATGTCACCAGCGATGATCAATAATTGATAGTGTGGAACTGAATTGAAAACTGCGTGTAAACACGCGTAGAATTCGTCCTTCCTTCAATCGCCTGCGACATTGGGAGAGAAGTACGCGACCAATAAGTTGACCTTCACTGCTGCAAGACAGCAAACAAGCAGACTGTCGGTCGTATACTCGACGGAAACCAAGGCATTCACCGCTGGTGGCGACAGCCAACACTACCACTCCTGACTGGCGTATGGAATCCTTGTTTCCAGACCACAGAAGCTGCCACCTGGTTTCCAGGCAATCTTCTCCCTGGTGAAGATGTGAGTTTCTGAGATCACCGGAGGTCGAGGTGGTACCGCTCAACCGGAGAGAAGACATCTTCGTTGAAAGTTGAATGTGCCAACAGGCAATACAGATCTTCTTTTTGTTGATCCTTGATGTCAAAAGTTCGGATCTGTGGAAGTACATCACTCATCGCACAGGCATCGCGTAACCGGGTCACTTAGGGTAGCGAAAGCGCTACCTGACGGCTCGCGGCGACGAAAAACGGAACAGCGACTAACCAGATGTTCGTATGGCTTTCCCAGTGTAGACACTGTCACAGTCTTTGCAACCAAACGACGTTCATCTGTTTCTGTCAGGCAGGTTAGTGAACCTTCTGACAGATCTTTAACTTGAAGGCACCGCTCATTTTTTGACAGATTCGCAAACTTTCATTCCTCAAGTAGTACCAGATTCTACTAAAACATTTCGGAATAACCGAAATGATTACAGCTGGGTTGCATTTGCTGTTGGGCTTGTTTTAATATCATGAATAGTTTGCAATAAAAACATTTCAGTAATGATAAACTTAGTTTTACTGCAGTTCGAAGTAGCACCTGACGTAGCTGATAATCTGCTCTTTTTCCACAATGCTCGTGAAAAGGCGAATGAGAAACAGATTGGCGAAGAGTTT